ATATATATATATATATATATATATATATTATCAGAATTTTTGACACACGCCAAGCTATCCAATTTGACGTCTAATCAGTGGGCATGATTGTGACCTCCTTGTACAAAAGACTTTGTAGATAATCCCTATGTGTGTGTGTGTGTGTGGACACCCCATTTTAAATCTTGCAAATTCTATAGTTTCTGAACCCTTAGGACAACATTATCCTAGTAAACCAAAAATCCACACAACGTACCCTGTGACATGGAACTAGTCTGCCTATCCGGAACCTTACAAAAACCCTGTTTTAACCGAGAATTCTGTAAACGCCTTGTTTTACAAAGTAAATTATGAAAACTGGTAAAAAAATCCATTTTGGCCCAAATTTTCTCTGAGACCTTCACAAGAGGCTAAGGAACACAACCAAAATGAAACAAATCACGTTGATAAGTTTTTTTTGGTGTCGCCCAAATTTTTACCCCCTAAATTATTATTATTTTATATGGATCTGTTGATTACGGATGTATATCTTTTCCAACAGATCCTTGGCCTCATAAAGTCTATTTTTCGTGGCCATTCAAAGGTCTGTCTAGATTGGAAACCCTAGAGAAGATAGAAACCCTAGAACATACTTCTTCTGAGAAGATCCTACCCTAACCCTAAGCCTGAGAAAACCTAGACCTAGGGCACAACAACCCTAGATCTACATCAGAGACCTGCTGGTAAACATCTGAATCATAGAGGCAAAGAGGATGCTGGTGCTGATATGGGCGACCCCTTGAAGGCTCGCGAGTCCCTGGCCATCCTGCCCGATTTGGTATCATTCCTTAATCATGTCTTGCTTTTATTTTACTATTTTGATTCTGTTTTAATTATTTTGATCTGTTAGTTCTCTTAAAACTCGTTTGAGAGTGAATCTGCTAAATTTTAAGTAGATCTGGCCTTAAATTTGAATTCGATTTGTCTCACTTTCTCTACCACTTCCATTTCATAAGCTTAAGGTGATAAGATCTGAGAGATATCCATCGGAAGATCTGTCATATTTTCATCGTAAACTGTTTGGCGCCCACCTTGGGGAGCTTGATCCAAGCACCAAAATTTTGATTTTATTTCACTATTTTTCACTTATTTCAGTCACAAGAGGTCCCAGACATCTGCTGTGACCAGGATTTAGGGTTTCGATGCTGTGAAACCTTGCTTTTTCTGGGCGACACTAGCAGTGTCGCCTGGGCGACCCACCAGTGCCGCCCAGATCCGGGGCAAATCTGCTTTAAAAAGTTTCATAATCTTCTGAAATTTTGCAGATCTGCTTTAGGACATCTCTTGTGACTGCTCAAAAAATTTCAGATCAAAAGAAAATTTTTAAAAATACCAAAAAAATATTTACTTGATACAGATTTGTTCTATCTACACTATTATGCTTTGCACTGTTTTAATTTATTTCATCATAAATATTTTTTTTCATGCCTCTTCCAATTTTATTGTTGCCTTATTTCATCAATTTTAACAAGAT